GAGTCTTCACAATTGATGAGCTGATTGCAAATGTACATGTTGGAGATCACTGGCTGTAAATGGTGCGCACTGTTGCTGTTAGGCCTTAGTAGTGGAGGGAGTGAAGTTGAAGGTGGCGTATTGGATGCCAGTCAATTTGTCTGCATTGTCCAGGATTGTGTTGAGTTTCTTGAGTATTGTTGGAGTTGCGCTATCTGAGCAAATTGAGAATATCCCATCACACTCCTGACTTCCTTACAAGTAGTTTTCAGGCTTTAGGGAGTCAGGAGGTGAGTTACTTGCTGAAAAATTCCAAGTTTCAGACTCATTCTTGCAAATGGTGTTGGTAGAGGATGGTCATTAATTGAAGCAACTGAAGATGCTTTGACCTATGACACAGTCATGAGAAACTCCTGGGCTGATGTTCTGGGACTGATGATTGACCTTCAACAATCAGAACCGTCTTTCTTTGCGCTAGATATGGTAATAACTAGTGGAGAGGTTTTCCCCAATTCCTGTTGACTAGAGCTCTGCCGCAGGACTTCTTGATGCCACATTGAGTTAGAAGTTTCATTATCTCAAGAACAGTTACTCTTGTTTCTCCTCTGAAATTCATCCTTTTCGTCCTTGTGTGGACCAACGCTGCAATGAGGTCACAAGCTGAATCGCCCTTGCAAAACCCAAACTGAATGTCAGTGAGCAGGATATTGCTGAGCGAGTGCCACTTCGTAGAAATGTTTTCAATACTTTTCTTCACTTTGCTTTTGTTGAAGAGTAGACTGGGGCCATAATTGTCCTGGTTATATTTGCCTTGCATAATTGAACAGTTTTCCACGTCGTCGAGAAATGCCAGCATTGTAGCTGTACTGGAACTGTACTTAGCTTAGCTAGAGGCACAAGTCTTCAATACATTGCCAGAATATTGTCAAGGCCTGTCGCTTTTGCAGTATTCAATGGTTTCAGCCTTGTTTTTTGCCTTGATATGCTAGGCTTCCTCGTCATTTAGGATGAATGGGATTCCTCAACGTTGAGATTGCTGATACTTCCGGTGTCCTCTAATGAGTTGGTTAATTGTCCACCAGTAGTCACAAATAAAATGACAGGATTGCAGAGAAGGAATCTGCCCCACAGCTTGTGGGATCACTGCTATCTGGTGCATGTCCTTTCTGCTGCTACGCTTGTATGCACTTTTATGCTGTAACCTCACCGAGTTGACCTTGCATTTTTAGATATTCTTGATCCTGCTCCTGACGTGTGGTCTGACTCTCATCTTTGAGCTAAGACTAATCCCCTCGTTTGATGGTTACAGTAGAGTGAGGGATATGCCAGCTGCTAGGTCACAGATTTTGTTCTTTTTATTTATTCACTTCTGTGTTGTGGGTATTGCAGGCTGGGTCAGCATTCATTGCCCATCCCTAGTTGCCTTTGGGAAGATGGTGTTGTGCTGCCTTCTTGAACCACTGCGGTCCATGTGCTGTAGGTTTGTCCCAGTGAACTGAAAGAACAGTGATATTCCCAGTTCGGGGTGATGAGCGACTTGGAGGGGAACTTAAAGGTGGTGGTGTACCTGTATACCTACTGCCCTTGTCCTTCTAACTGGACGTGATAGTTTGGAAGATGCTGTCTAAGGATCTCTGGCAAACATCTCCAGTGCATCTTGTGATAGTAAACACTGCTGTTGCTGAGCATCGGTGGTGGAGGGAATGAATGTTTATGGGTGTGGTGCCAGTCAATTGAGCTACTTTTATCCCCCGTGGTGTCAAGCTTCTTGAGGACATTGGAGCTTCACTCATCCAGGCAAATGAGGAGTATTTCATCACAGTCCTGACTTGTGCCTTGTAGATGGTGGTGAGGCTTTAGTGATTCAGGAGTTGAGTTACCCAGGCAGCAACTACATGGGAGTACAACGACCTGCAAGTTCCTCTCCAAACCACTCACCATCCTGATTTGTAAAAATATCACCGTATCACTGTTGCTGGGTCAACATCCTAGAGCTCCCTCTCTGATAGCATGTGTGCGCACCACCCAAATTGGATTGCAGTAGTTCAAGGCAGCGGCTCACCACCACCTTTTAGAAGGCTATTGGGCGTGGGCAGTAAATCCTGGGCCAACCAGTGGAGCCCATTTACCTACATGTTCAAGGCTAATTAGGGATGGGAACAGATGCCAACCTTGCCAACGATACCAACATTCTACAAAAGAATAAAAATGATGAGCGTAAAATTTAGGAACCCAATAAGTTGTAGTCAAAAATGAAATGACAAGGGCTTGCATAATGGTTTCAAGGTGAAGATGATGGTAGTAGATTTGGTGCGTATAGAAGTGTACTGCCCTTGTAATGCAGTGACAATATGGTCGGAAGCTAAATTTTAACATGGGCAAGCATCACCTTGCAGTGGAACTAACAGTTACTTTACAGACCTATAATTATTTTTCAGGAGATAATTGTTACTTAGTAAACAGTGCTTTGAAGCCTATCTTGCTAATCTATTCAAAATCTGCTCGTGTTTCTTAAGTTGAACCTGTTAGACAGAATGCAAGTTCAGATGATAATAATAGAATTCAACCTCCACACTAAAATAGTAATATTGGTGAACAGGGAATTGTTTTTGTTTTCCACGTTTGCTTTTTTAAAAAAAAAATACACATTTGGGTTTTATGGTAAAGCTGCACACACCCAGCTGGGATCACCATTTTTAGTCAAATTAAAAGCTGAATATCTATGATCGCTATGCTTTAGCTGTGTCAATTCTCTAGGTCTAGTTTCACAAAAATGAATGAAGGCAGCAGGTGGGATTTAGACATGGAGCCCTGTGAAACAGATGGATGTTGGAGCCAGAAGTGCAGCTTCTAATGTTCAGCTGTTTTTGCAGGGACAGTGTATAAATGCTTGCTCGAGGGAGAAATGCATCACTGGTATAGGTTACAGACTGTTTTACATGTGTACTGGCTGCCAACGGAGCTTTGAGACTGCTGTACTGAGAGCACACTGACCATTTTGAGTCTGCAGACATTGCCTCTGTTGTATGTTACTGTTGATTTGCATTGTATGCAGTAATCATGTTTCATTTCCAAAACAGAAAGGCAGGATTCTATGAATTGAAACAGTTTAGAACTAAAGATTTTAACCACTAAGGGCAACTTGAAACAACTGGACCATATTCTGCTTCTGAACCATGTAAATTGTAAAGAAGAGAGCTTTCACTTATTCTGCTCGCTTATGGCTTAGAGCAATATCTTAATGATCTGTTCTAAACCTCTAGAATTGTGATCTAGAAATGAACAATTTCAAGAAATGGTTGAAGGCACTGGATCAAAACTTTTGACAATTCTACTAAAGACTTGTTCTACACAATTAGCTGCACTTCAGGCCAAGCTGTTCCACTGCAGCTGCAACACTGGAATCTACCTGACTGTGTATAAAATTGCCCATGTATGTCTTCTCCATAAAAAGCAGGACAAATCTAACCTGACCAATGAATACGTCATCAGTATAGTGATGTAAGATATTGTCAACAGTGCTATCAAGCTGCATATGCGGCAGGGTAGTAAGCTGCTCATTGATGCTCAGTTTAGGTTTCACCAGGTCCACTCATCTTGTAATCCCATTACAGCTTCGGTTTAAACAATGACAGAAGAGCTGAACTCCAGAGGCAATGTCAGTGATTCATTAGACATCAAGACGGCATTAGCCAAAGTATGGCATTAAGGACCCTTGTCAAATCGGAGAATGGCAAAATTTCTGCACTGGTTAGAGGTTCTTCGGTTGCTGAAACAGTTTGTATCCACATTCGTCAAGACCTGGACAGCATTCAGTCGTAGGCTTCTCAGTAAGAAGTAATATTCAAGCCATGCAACAATGACCATCACCAACAAAAGACAATTTAACCAGCTCCCCATGATATTCAGTGGCATTATTGCTGAATCCCCTACTATCCACACCCTTGAGGTAAGCATGACCAGAAACTTAATGAAACAACTCACATAAATGCAGTCAGTGCAACAGCAAGTAAGTGTCTTGGAATTTTGTGGGGAGTAACTCTGCCTGATTCGCTCAAACTTTGGCCAGCATTTACAAAAGATCTGGTAAGGAGTTGTAATGGAGTACACTCCCTCATGCATGGATGAGTGCTCTCCAACAACACTTAGAAAACTTGACAGCATCCAGGGCAAAGCAGCCCACTTGGTTACCACTCCCTTCACCATCGATCTACAGCAATAACAGTGTGTGCCATTTATAAGATGCTGTGCAGCAACTTGACAAGTTTCCTTCCCCAGCATGTTCCAGGTCTATCACCCCTACCACCGAGAAGGATAAGGACAGGAGACGAGTGGAACTTCACCATCTGCAAATTTCCCTCCAAGCTCAACACATTCTTGACTTGAAACTATGTTGCCATTCCATCACTATTGCTGAATCAAAATCCTGGAACTCCTTCCTAACAGCACTGTGTACATGTATGCACGCATGGACTTGTGGTTCAAGAAGTTAGCCAGTTACCACTCTTGAGGACCATTTAAGAATGGGCAATAAATGCTGGCACCCGTGAATGGAAAAACAATTACCAAGTAAGGTTATATTGCACTTGTAAAATTAAGTATGAATCTTCATAACAGCCAAAAACAAAGCAGGAAAACTTATGATTCACAGTGAACACATGAGAGTTCCAAAAGAAATTCCATTGTCAAAAATGTTAATCTGCACTTTTTAATTTCAGTGATATGTGCCTGTGGCAAAATATTTGCTTTTCCTGTTTTTTAGTTGTACACTTACTGTTCAGTTGAACATTAAAGTTAGAGGATTAGTGAATAGTTGCTTCCAAGTTATAAGGCAAGTTAATAATCTGTAATAAGGTACTTATGACTCATTCTGATGGACGATTGAGAAGATTGCATTTGCACAAACACTTAAAAGTGAAGTTTGTGGCATATCCTTCCATGCTTCAATAGGTTCTGTTAAATGGTTCAAATTAAAATTCAAGATATTATAACATGTCTGTTCTCACTTTTATCCCCTTCAGTTGGAATAATTCAATAATTTCAATTCGTGAAGCCAAAGTGATTCCCAAAACCAATGAAATGGAATGGAAAAATAAATATATTTGTGTTGAAGGTATGGAATACATGTATTTGTATAAGTAATGCCTTAGTTTCTCTGCTTACTTAAGTGTGTAATGTGTCTTTTAAAAGATTTGTGGGGGGATTGGTTGGCTTGGTTGGCTGAAAATCCAGTTGCAATGCAGAGTGGGTTCAATTTCTGCACCAGCTGAGGTTACAGTGAAGGGCTCTCCTCAGCCTCTTCCCTTGCCTGAGGCACGGTGACCCTTGGGTTAAACCACCAATCATTTCTCTCTGAGAGAACAGCCCTGTGGTGCGTTAGGACTAGGGTGAATTTACTTTTCTGTTTTAGAAATTGTTTATCATTTTCTTTTATCCTGGATTTATCATGGATTTGTAAATTTTATTTGGATATGTATAATCAATTATCTCCAAGTCATATTCCTCCAAAGAGAGAACTCCTCAAGATCACCTGAATGACTTCCTAATAACAGTAGAAATTGGAAACTAGTTGGCAGGCATTTACCCTGGAGTTACCATGCACATTCTAGCCTTGATCATTTTGAGCAGAAACAGTTTATTGAACTTCTTTCAGGAGAAAAGCATATCTCATGGTCACAGTGCAACTTCCATGACTTGCATTTTCCAAATACTTCATTAAGCAAGGTGCTTCTTTGATGTTTCAGTGTTGGGATTAATCGCTAACTAATAGGATTGACAAGTCAGGTTGGAGATGTTCTTGGAGGGTTGATCAAGTGATGCTTGTTCTTGTGTGGCTTCCCAACAGTTTGCAAATATTATTACACTACCTTCTAAAAGATTGATCCGTTGTACCGAGTACCTATGCTTGTATTTCATGCCAGTAGCTATCTCCTGAGGGATTCCAAGAACTGTGAGGCTGCTGCTGGCAAATAGTACAGAATTAAATTGTTGGCTTCACTTTTCACGGGTTTGGAGCGGCATCTGGGAGATGCATCTTTCAATTCTGATAATGGAGTCCAGGGAAGTAAACAAACCCAGACCCTTAAACTTAAATATAATATTAGGGTTGTCATTCATGTGCAATGTTTTACTAATTCATAAGATATGGACGACACTGGCTGAACTAGCTTTTATTGTCATTCCTCTTTGCCCTTGAAAAGGTGATATTGACTGGTTTCTTGGACTGCTGCAGTCCATTTACTGTAGGTAGACCCACACTACTGTTGGGGAGGGAGTCCATGATTTTAACTCAGCAACACTGAAGAAACAGCAATGTACTTCCAAGTCAGGATGGTGACTGGGTTGGAGGACACTCTAAGGTTGAGCTGTTCCCATGTATCTGCTACCCTTGTCCTACTAGATGGTAATGGTTGTTGGTTTGGAAGATGCTATCAAAGGAGCCTTGGTGAATATCTGCAGTACATCTGCAAAACTGCAACTAGCAGTGAACACAGAGTTCTATTGCACAGAATTGTTTGTCACAATTGTAATAACATAAAATGTTTCAAGAGTTGTATCTACCTTCCAAAGCCAAGCTTATGTTTTGTATCACTTCTTTGCATTAATACTGTAGCCATAGCAATCCAGCAACTGTGGCTAGGGACAACCTCCAGCCTTGATGCCTGCTGGAACATGTAACTTTGTCCCATAAGCAAGTCTTAGTTTTTATTTTGACCACGCAAGTAAACCTTTCCTCTGTTCCATCTGAGGGGGAACCTTCTGCCAGTTCACCAAACTGCTGGTCATTTTTATTAGAAATCCCTATCCGATGTTAGCTATTCATTATTTATTTGACAGCACAGCTATAAATTCTCACAATTTCAGACGGTGTGCGAAACTCTCGGTTAAGGGATTTTGGTCTATTGAAAATGCTAACCTTGGTTATAGTCTGTCTCAATCTTGAATACATCTCCTTTGGTTGCAGCCAATTTTACATAAAGTATTCAGACTTAACTCTTATTAAGGGTGTACACAGGCTTAGAATGTTTTAGAAGCATAGAAAATAGGAGTAGGAACAGGGCATTTGGCCCTTCAACCTGCTCTGCCATTCAGTATGATCATGGCTGATCATCAAACTCAATACCTTGTTCCTGCTTTCTCCCCATATCCTTTGATTCCTTCAGTCTCGAGAACTATGTCTAACCCCTTGACAGCATAAAATATTTTGGCTTCAATCACCTTCTTTGGCAAAGAATTCCACAGATCACCAGTCAAAAAAATCTCCTCATCTGAGTCCTAAATGGCCTACCCTGTGTCCTTAAACTAACTCCTAGTTCTAGAGACCCCCCAGTCATCAGGCACATCCTTACTGCATTGATCTTACCTAGTCTTTACTTTTGCATTCCATGTGTTTCAAAATTAGGATTTGGTAACAGCCGTATCAACCTCAAATTCTGCCTTTACTGTTTCATGAACTTGTGCTTCTAAGTCTCTGTGCTCCTCCACAGGACTGAGCAATTTCTATTTCAGAGCATTATTACCGCTCTGTTTAAAAAAAAAAAAATACATCCTGATATACTTCCCCACTGAGTTTTTGTCACTTTTAAGTCTATTTCTTGTCCTCCATCTTATCTATATCCCCTTGTAGTTTCTTTCTTTTAATTTGCTCAAAAATTAATAATGTTCCCTATTTTTGTGTTTTCTGTAAACTTTGATGGTCTATGAGCTAGAAGCAGCCTACTTGAAAATATCTCTGTACCAATATGCTTGTGCTTCAAATATTGTATTGACAGTTGCAGGCCTGGGACGGCATGGTGGCCCAGTGTTTAGCACTACTGCCTCACAGCACCATGGACCCGGGTTCGATTCCACCCTCGGGCGACTGTCTGTGTAGGGTTTGCATATTCTCCAAGTGTCTGCGTGGGTTTCTATCAGGTGCTCCGGTTTCTTCCCACAGTCTAAAGATGTGCAAGTTAAGTGGATTGGCCGTGCTGAATTGCCCATAGTGGTGTGTAGATTAGGTGCATTAGCCACAGGAAATGCAGGATTATGGGGATGGGTCTGGGTGGGATGCTCTTCGGAGGGTCAGTGTGGACTTGTTGGGCTGAATGCCCCGGCTCCACACTCTGGGGTTCTATGATTCTGTGACTACTTAGAGAATGTCATGCTCTTCTGAGTAAAATTTTAATTAATTCCAGGAGCATGATAGCGTACCATTCTACCTTTTTGCTTAAAGTTTGGTAGTTTCAGCTGTTAACTTCACCAAATGGCACATTTTTAAGTCTGTTCAAAGTTCTTTTTCTGTGTAGCTAGAGATTGCAACATAGGTCTTTTACTCCTGTTTCTAACTAATATGTCTTAAAGTGCCACTTAAAGAATTGAGAAAGGGAAGTATTTTGAAGGATATACAGTTTTGGGATCCAGAAGCCATTTAATTTTAGATTAATAGCTCTGAAGCACAAATGGGTGATTTGGAAGTAAAACTGGTGGGCAATCGTCAGAGTCTGGAGTTATTTAGAAGTCCAGCCACATTTGTGTGCTGCTGCCAAACAGAGGTTTGCCAATTGTTTGTCCTGCTACAGGTTGCCTCATGTGCAAGGATGGCAAATGACTGGAAAAAAAACACAAATTACTGGCGAAACTCAGCAGGTTTGGCAAATTAGCAGGTTTGCATGCTGGGCTAGGTGGCAGATTGAGCTGGAGAGGAGATACGTCCTGTACTTAAAGGCCTCAAACGGGCCAGAATCTGTTGAGGTGTCCAGGAGGAGCATTCCTGTTCATCCTTGGCCCACCATAAAATGATTGAAAATGTTAGAAATACTAAGTAGCCATGTTGATATCCTTGAGGGGAGAAGTAGACTAACAGGTAGAATTTTTCCAGCCACTTGATTTTGGTGCAGCATGTGAAAGCACCGGAAAAGTATGTCTGGTCAGAATGCTGATGTTATCCCGCTCTTCCAGCTTAGTGTGGAGCAGGTTCAGAGTCCTGCAAGGAACCCTGTGGATCTAGTGGGAAAACAAGTGAGAAGGCAATTTGAGAGCCCTTTTCAACCACAAATTTGTCCTCCTCTAGTAGTGCACAGCTTCTGTAATGTGTCTGTGCCTTTTAGAGGATCAGTGACATGGGTGCAGATCAGGAAGAGCTTCATCAGGGGAACTGACAAACAGGGAATGCTTTGATCTATTACAATGAAGAGCTATTGACGTGGCCATTGAGAGGCTGCTGTTCAGTGCCCTTCTTTCAGAAAGCCCTATCATTACTTGACAAGTGATTGCCAACTTGGAAGGCACTTCACCCATCTAGCACCTCATTTGTCTTCAGCTGCACTTCCCTGTTGTGACTGTTCAGTGTAGCATGGGAGATGATTATGTTGCACTCATTTTGGGACTTGGCACCAGAAGGGGAATACTCAACTGTCACGATCTTCGGAGGTCCCAGGTACTCTTGGTGCATTGTCCTCAAATTGGAGGGAGCACGTTCTTGCTCTTGCCTTTATTCTTTCACAGGATGTGTCTCACCGACAAGGCCAGCATTTGTTGCCCATCCCTAACTGACCATCCAAAGGTGGTGGTAGGCCATCTTCTTGATCCACTGCAGTCCATCTGGTGCAGGTACAGCCACACTGCTGTGGGAAAGTTCCAGGATTTGAACCCAGTGAAGGAAAAACAATGTGGTACCAAGTCATGGTGTATGTGACTTGGGTGGAGAATTTGCTGGAGGTGATATTCCCATGTAGCTGCTGCCCTTTTCCTTCTACTTGGTACAATTTGTGAATTTGGAAGTGCTGTTGCTAAAGGCTTGACATTTATTGCAGTGTGCCTTGTGTGCGGGCAAAATGGTTATTTCCATCCACATCTGTTTGATTGAACAAGTTGTTGTCTTCCTCCCTCCTGTCCTTGGGAGAGTTTATGTGCTGAATCTGCAGTCATTAACATTCCATGTCAGGACCTCTAGATAAATCAGAGATCACAGGGCAGTCTTCCCAGCTCTCCCCTCCATAACTGTGGTTGCTGCAGTCTCAAAATTCCAAGTTCTGGTGAACTATTGTCATCTATTCCATGGTTGCTGTAAATTAGAAATTCTTCATTTGACAGAATGGACTTGTCATCACACCCACCCTCCTTCATTGGTGA